TGATTGATTGATTGATTGATTGATAATACAACAAGGAGAAGCCTACAATCTATACTTACTATAAACACCAGGCGTGACCCGTATCGGTCGAGCTGTTGAGATACAATAAATGCCATATGTTGGTTAACTGACCGGTGAAAAGGTTCACAAAACGCTGCATAAGTTAAAAATAATACTTCAATGCGAGAAAATAATACTTACGTCGTTTTCCTCCCCTGCAGTACCCCCACAGTTTCTTCCTGCCATACTCCGGAGTTATTGGGCACCAGGTCCTTCCCCGTCCATTACTGGCGCAGCTGTTGTATCGACGCCTGCGATACACAAATGGCAAAGAACAGCAGTAGCCCTTTGTAGTGCGAAGACGGCATTTTCCTACAGGAAAAAGACAGTGTTAAAAACAGATTTTATGGTAGTGTAAAATGCCTTGATAAGTGCTTTCTTCCTCAGTTAAACTTTTATCGACTTTTAAAACTAAAAAGACAAGTGGTAAGCGGATGTTTGTGCTGGCTTGCTTGATCTTACTTCCTGGGAAGTAGGAATCGAAACACTAGATTCACGACGGACTATATAAATGTTGTTTTTTCTTACAGTGCGACTACTCGAATTGAACCGGGCCACCTCGAAGAAATCTAACCAATCAAAACGTAAACTGAGAGCAATGGATTGGTAGCTCTTCGTGACGGCAGGTAACGGTCTGTTTGACGTGAAAACATTTAAGACTATCGACTCCTCTGCGTTATATACACTCTTAGAGATTCACTCCTTGACGGTGAATTATCATAATTATAAATCTCGCTCGAACAATTAAGCTTGAAAACTCATTTTACTACAACTAAACCAAAACCGTTGAAAAGCGTATAAAACTTAGACTCGAAAGTAAACCAATCAACAAGTGGCAAAGTTTCCTGAGAGGTTCGCAGCTACTCGAACTTTGTTGGATTTTCAATTTTGTTAAGATCTGTTGTTCATAATCTTTAATGTAATTGGTTTATTTGAGAAAAAGATCGCTATCACTTGTTCTCAAGTAACGTTCTGATTGGTTAACTCTTTTCAAAGTGGCCCGGTTCGAGTTGTCGCACTGAAAAATTCTCTTGCTGAAATTCCACACAGAGTTGAGACTAGCCAAGTTTGTAACTGTGCGTCACTTTTTAGCAGATATTTCCGGAAAACCTCACCTGAAATCCTGTAGACATCGTTCGCCCATGGTCCTCCTTTTCCATTCCTACATCTGTTAGATCGTCCGTACCTTGCAAAGGTTCTATGAGCATGCGGTCCTGATGCACACCAACCACCATGTTGGATTGCCATGAATTTGTAACCACGCCTGGCTGACTCTAGAGCGCATTTCTTTATGGCGAATTTCCGATGACGGTAGCTTCCTCGTAGGAGAATACTTTTTCCATCCAGTTGTGGAATGGCTCTGCGAGCAGTGTCTTTGAAGCAGCCGATTCTCTGGACTAAACAATGAATTGGGAAGAGAAGGACATTTTTAACATTTGTGGTCCACATTACGCTGGTGAAATTTGAAAGTGTTTACACTCTGAAAACACGTCAAATGTTTTCCGTTCACACTACGCCGCAGGAATTTAGAAAGGGAACAATCACCGGTAATTTTAGATTCATGTTTGAAGAATATTAAACTCGGTCATTGAGATCACATCATTATCGTGAAATCATCGTTTTCAGAAAGCTCTGTTTACGTGACGGATTAGTGTGGACGGTAGGCCTAACCGTAGAAATAAAGCCACGTAATAAAAGTAGAGATATAGACGGTGTCAACATAACCGGGTCAGCTATGAAATTGAATTTAATATCAAGAGCCCAACAGACAATAGGCAGATTTGCAAAATGTGAAAGGGGGTCTGTGTTCTTTACAACTGAGTAACAGGGACGGAAAGCACAACTCCCAGACCTGATTGTGGCTACCTCAACTCCACAGCTGGGTATCTTGCTAGGGAAACCACGTTGTAATATTTAGCATTAACTCTAAAAGTCAGTTAAAGACGGTGACAAGAAATGAATATAAAAAGTCTCGATGTCGTTACTTACGTGTGACTGACAGCGTGACTTTGATGATTTTTGCTGGAAAGGAAAACATAAAGCATTACACTGACATTTCTTAAATGTATATACGCAAGATGTCCACTGCAAAGCAGTAGCGTTAAACTAAGATATTACAGGCAAATCTTTGGCCTTGAACAAAGCATTTATAAATCTATAGCATAGTTCTGATATCAAGAGAAAACAAACTAATGAACTAATTTTGCGAAAAAAAGTTCGTGCCATAATCGCCAACAATTATTTCAACATGTTCAGAAAACTAGCAAATATGAGAGTTGTCATAATTTTAATAATTGTACTAATTTATTCCTCACCTCCTCCTCCATTTATCATATTTTTAGTAATTGTACTAATTTATTCCTCACCTCCTCGTCCTGCGCAATAGCCCCACAGTTTGTCCACGTCATAGCTTGGAGTGACAGCGCACCAAGGGCGTCCCCTGGAATTGGCTGTGGTACAGCTGGTGAATCGTCTGTTGCGGTAAATGAACGGGAATACACAGCATTCACCGCGAGTTGTTCGCGCGCGACAGGATCCTGTGGACAAGAGATTAAAAGGAACTTTTTCAAGAATTTTAGGCAAATTTCGAGTCAAATCTGAAAAAATTACCACTTAAAAAAGTCAAGGGAAATTTCTATAACACAACAAATACAAAAGAAGGTACGGATGGACAAGAATTGAAGACGATTTTAACGGATTGCGAAATGGGTTTTGAAAACTGTTCTACCTAACAGGTTTTCAAAGTCAATCTCGCTTGTTTGTCAACTTTAATTATAACGACTGGGAGACATTTGTTTATAATGAAGCTATGGTTTTGTCATTTAGATCCACACAAAGATTCTCTTCGCTAACATTAAGTTTCATAGCGAGCATTTTGCAAAATTTAAAAAAATAGACTAAACTCAGCCATGACACAGTCCAATTAATTAGTAAGTGAGTAACTGTATATGTAAGTTGTCTTGAAAATTCCCAAGAATGAGATACTGAAAACCATGTTAAGCTAAGCAGTTTCTATACCTCTCAGAACGTAGACATCATTGGCCCAAGGTCCTCCTTTTCCATTCCTACATCTGTTAGATCTGCCGTATTTTCCATATGTTCGATAAGCATGTCTTGCTGAAGCACACCATCCCTGATGTTGTACGGCAAACACGCTATACCCACGCCGCTTTGCAGCCAAAGCGCATTTCTGAATAGCATATCGTCTCCTTCGGTAATGTCCTTTCAGAAGACGACTTCTGCCTTCTAGGGTTGATATGGCTCTTCTTCCAGTGTCCCTGAAACAACCGAGCCCCTTGGCTAGACAGAAAATGAGAGGAAATCAGAAGGGGCTTTTCATCTGAGAAAATCATGCTTTACCAGTTCTCACGAATTCAATTGAATTTAAAGGGATACCAGGGTTATCAGTTTATAAATATCTGATCTGATGAGGGGGTTAATGTTTGTAACATCAAAACAAAATGGTGATTAATTTATTTCTCAACCTCAGTTAAGTAAAAACTGCAGTCAGTCAGTCCTACCGTCCAGTGGAAGATCAGTTAATGTAACTTTACTCACCCAGTAAACCCAGTGTGATGCGAATCACTTTGCCTGAAAAAAAAAATTCACGTTAATTTTCAAACATTCTGGTCTACCAACAGTTATTCTATCAATAACAAAATTTTTGTCTCTTATTAGCTCTATTTTTTAGCAAATATGTAATAAATGTGTATTGAAACTTGTGACACCATGTAGATTTTCAATTACAGCTGTCCAAGCACAGCTTGTAACTGGATCGCTGTCATCGAACAGCTTGGCCAATAACTTATCAGTTATGTGCACTGAGTGCACTGGTTCTTTCCTGATTGTAAAACATTGCCCTAGACTTTTTTACTTGAGAAGATTCTTGAAATGACTCGTTTGATTGTACCGTAAATGGCCAATTTCCTCTATGAGACGTGCCTGCATGGAATCATGGGAGTTGTATCCATCATCTTGGACTGGATATTTCTGTTATGAATGCGACTACCATGATTCCCTGCAGGTGCGCATCATAGAGGAATTGGCCATTGTACACAACTCAGTGCAATAAAAAGTCGCAATAAAACCACCCGCATGAGATGCTGGGAGAACACGAGAAAAGCTTGTAAACCACGTGCTTTTGGTTATTTTATAAACCGTGAAAAAGCTTTCGACTTCACTATTGTGTCTGTAAGGTCCACGAAAATTTCAAGCCAAAGCCAAAATTTTCAAATTTTCAGTTACTTAATTAACTTAATGGATACAAAATGTAACAGAATGTTACATGTGCAAATTGTGAATGTTTAGGAAATATCCTTGCTCATCTAAGGGGAGGATATTGGTAGGGTTCTATTGCACAGACTGAAGTTCTTAAACGAAAGTATAAAGCTAAACTGGAATTTCAAGAGGGGTAGCAGTGGGGTTCTACGCGAAAAATCTGTATGGGAAATTACGCATGATTATAATTATCAATCATACAAGATACCTACCTCTTCGTGGAGGGACAACAGGTCGTATTGGTCTGACTCGTCCACCTAACATGATGAAATAAGTAAAATAACGTTTAGTGATATAAAATCTTGATAATACAAAATCTTCCAACTGATTCCATACATTTCTTTTCTTTTCATATCCATCTCTGAATTTGGTAGAGCATCAATGCAGAAATTGTTCTCAACCCAGCTTACCAACACAGTTTCCCCACTTCTTATCTCGATCATAGTTTGGTGTGAGAGCACACCACGGTCGATTGTGATTTCGTCTTGTACAGCTGTTGTAACGACGGCCTTTGTAGATGAACGGGAATCTACAGCAGTAGCCATTTGTTGCCCTCCTTCCACATGAGCCTAGCAAACAAAAGACAGGACACAACATGAGACAGATCTAGATCACTAGGGAATGGAAGTCAAACCAATGAAGGCAATAAAGCATTTATTCGTCTTGTGTTTCTTGTGAGCGGAAGTCATCTTCAGAGTCAAGTGAACAGTGTTTGTCAGTCGATGTTATAAGTCTAGTCCATTTAAAGTGATTGGTCAGTTTAGCAGTGATGGTATTGGCTGGAAGACTCATGTAAAGTTTGTCAGCAGTCATTGGTCGTTTCTAGTAAGTTTACTATACATAATTTACCATGCAATAAAGCATGTCGGACAAAACAAGTTCTAAAAATTCTCCAAAACAGAAAAATCCGTGACAATAGTTTTATTGTTCCAGTATTACAGCTTCTTGAAGTGTTATTTAATGCTTACATAGGCAAATAACTCTGTAAACCCACCAGATACAAAGTACACATCGTTGGCCCATGGGCCTCCTTTGCCATTTCTACATCGATTTGATCGTCCATACCGTCGGTAGGTTATGTGAGCTCTCGGACCAGTGGCACACCATCCTCGATGTTGGATAGCGAAGGCTTTATAACGACGTTTTACAGCTTCTAAAGCGCATTTCACGATAGCATCTTTTCTGTTTCGGTAATAGCCACGGACAAGGATACCTCTACCGTCCATTTGTGGGATGGCACGGCGGCCTGTATCTCTGTAACAACCTTGGGATCGAACTAAAATGAAAAATTACAACTAAATTAGTTTAATTTCTAAATTCTAAAGGAGGGGGTGCAAATACAGTACTTAACTGTTAAGTAATAATGCAACAAACTATTATAAAGCTTTAGTAGAATTCTACTTGTACACTAATGGAAATGCTGCAACCTGATTGGCTGAGCTATCACGTACTACCAGCCATTAGAGTGCAGTGGCTAGAGGTTGTCTACAGCTGGCAAAACTTTCTTGATAATTGAATTTAAGTAATCTCCTTTCAACACTAGAACAAGGGCATTTCACATTATACAACTTTAAAATCTCAAAATTGTTGAACAGATGATGTGCGCACAACTAGTTACAATAGCTCAAAATGACGATTCAGTCCACACTCTGTTTTAAAGCATGCAATTGATACCAAGATGAATGTAGAAAAAATAAAATTAATGGTAATCATTATTTGAAGAAAATTTAGTAAGAACACTGCTAAAATAATTAGACTATCCCCTCTTTATTGCTTGATTGCTTCCGCCTTCTCAACTATCAGTCTCATAGAAACCACGAGCTCATTATAATCCAATTGCTAAATAGAAACACTCAAACAAAGCGTAATTTGATAGAAGCACTGCTGTTCAGTGTCAACAGATTTTGTCTAAATCTTGCAAAAAAAGAATAAAAATGGTCAATTACACATACAAGAAAATTACTCACTCACAACTCCTCTGGTTACTCTTGTTGCTGGAGCTGACAAAACAAAATACGTTTGGAATTTAACCTCAAGCAACATTGTAGTTTTATATCTCAAGTTGTCAAGGCCACTCTTTGCTCAACAGTTTGCTGTTTGTTGAGTCATGTTAGGTAGCATTGAGAGCAACTTTATCAAATGGTTTCACTATTGTTTCCAGATTGACAAATGTTGAGATTTGAGAATGAGAACCAAGCTTGTTCATACCGACCTCCCACGAGCACAACACAAACATTAATTCTTTCCCATGCTAAAGTGATGTTCTCAGGTCTGTAGGTTAATTTCAAGCAGAAAAGCAACAAATTGAACATAATTTATGCTTAACTTAGATGGTTTGTATGTACAACATTACTACAAATGTTTTTGATTTGGTGCGGAAAGAGTTGATTATGCCAGATGTCAGTGTTTGACGCAGAATTAACAAATACGCAAGTAAAAAATCTTAACAGGTCTCTCGGTTGACTAGAAATAACATTTCTAGTCCTAAACCTGTGAGCTTCATTATAGGCTCACTGGAATGAGTTACTCAAAGTTCCATTCTTTAAAGAATAAGTTACTCAATGGAATAAGGTACTCAATGTTTCATTCTTTAGTGCCCCACCATAGCTAAGTGTATATTGACGTTAAACCAGTATTTTTTTTTTTTTGTATTGTATTTTAAAGAGTTCTATGACAGGGGTACAAATATTGAAGAAATGTAGCACAAAGAACTTATAAGAAAATAAAAAAAGATAATATAAAAATAAGTAACAAAAACAAGTACCTCTTCCACCCCTGCAGTATCCCCAGTGTCTGCTCCTGGGATAATCTGGTGTAATTGGACACCAGGGGCGTCCATGCCGGCGTGTTCTAACACAACGGTTATATCGACGTCTGCGGTATGTGAATGGGAACACGCAACAGTAACCAGTTGTGGTGCGTAGTCTGCATTTGCCTGATAACACATGGAGTGAAATGCTTTCTTAGAATATAATACATCATTTTAAGTCATATCTACATTTAGTGGCTTTAATAAAGAAATCTGGACAACATACTAAGTTTATGGAAATACATGCAACTATAGCTATGAAGAATCATGGCAACAGTTGAAATTTTCATAACGCAGATTTTTAAGCAAATATAGCTGAGGTAATTAAGGTAATTCGCTGCCTTCTTCGGGTATATTATGTTATATTTTGTTAAGCTCAAATTTTACAACCCTGCAATCTATTTCATTGCCAAAACAGTTAATGACTTCATTGTGTGATCCAATTCGTAATCATTTAGACTGATTCAATTTACTTATGGCCAATGATTTTTTTTTTTTTTTGGATGTCATCATCAACTGTGCTCATTACCCAACTAATTCTCCGGACTGACTTGTGACATCAAAGACTGTGGTATACGAAAAGTTACGAGGAGCCCAAAGGTTCCTAACCATGAAATCCTGGGTGCCCAGCCTTTGGGCTGGGCACCCAGGAAGTTGGTCGCCTGTGGCACCCGGGCGCTTCTAGAGCACAGCCTTGGGTCTTTGCACTAAGTTTCCCTAAAAGTCTGGCCAACGTGATAATTGTGGCATTCACCTTCAGGGCCAGTTACCCCATTTTGAATGAGTGTACAAACATAGCACAAAGGCATTTCATAAATTATCTTAAATCATACCCGACAATCGGTAGACGTCATTCGCCCATGCTCCTCCTTTTCCATTCCTACATCTGTTTGATCGCCCATACCTTGCAAAGGTTCTCTGAGCATGCGGTCCTGAAAAACACTGGCCGCCATGTTGCACACTAAGTATTTTGTAACCACGTTTAGCGGTCACATATGCACATTTTTCAATGGCTTTTCTTCTCCGCTGGTAGTTTCCTCTTAATAGTGGACTCTTCCCTTCTAGTAGTGGGATGGCTCTTCGTGACGTATCTTTAAAGCAACCAATTCTCTGGACTGCAAGAAAGGTAGATTGGAAGTTATAAACACAAGTAAAGTAACTGTTGCATTATATATTTATACACATTGCTACAATGTATACTGTTTATCAAGCCCAAAATGTGTGCCTAGTGGATGATTGTTTCAAGAGCATTTATTTGCAACAACCTCTCAGTCTCCACTCTCAGATGCATCAACGTTATACTACACATTTCCAGAGGAGGGCCATCAGAAAATTCTGAGGGGTAAAAGAACTCAAAATCTAGAAAAGGTCTTAAAGAATTTCTAGGTTTGAGGCTAAGAGCAAAAAACCTTCTGTGGTAAGGATGAGAGTATTTTCTGAGCCAACACAATGCCAAAAAATGTCAATCTCTCCCAAAATTACCTTGCTGACAAATCAAAGCAACTGGACCTATGCTAGTTCATCGTTGTTAAAGGGTGTAAGTTTTACTTAGTGCTTAATATTTGGTACTTACGTCTCAACGATGGCGTCAGCCTTATTGTCCGCACTGTAGAAAACAAAATCAAATACTTAATACTAGCTAAGGCAATCAATTTTTGACAGCCAAGGTTCTGAAGAGATTCTCTTAGCAAAGACGATTACCGATTCCTTTATGGACAAACTTTGGCTATGATAGAAGCATTTATCTACGTAGATCCCAGAGTATTCGGCACCTTCCTTTCTACATAAATTATCACTAAATTTCAGTTGATCATAACTAAAATAAAATCCTTACTAGGTCAGAGTTTAAAGTATCACTGGCAAGAACGTATATAGAAAACACAGTTAAATACACCAAGTTAACACCTTAAACACGGTGAGAATAGGGCTTGTCAAAGTCATTAATAATTCATCAAGTTTAAACAAAGGAAATCATGATGGTAACGGTGTTTGGACATGTTATCTTAATTAGAATAGATTTTTACGATTTCATTTCTCCGTTTTCTCCTTAGTTTTAGCTTTGATTGAGAAGATATATTAAACACTCCAGACAGTGTTGACCACATTTCCAAACACCTCACAGTTCGTGAAAAATACCCCGCTACACGTCGTATTTCAACTCTCTTCTCGGTGTTTGGAATGTGGTCAAACACGATCTTTCTTGTTTGATATATTACTTCTCCAGGACTCTATGACACCTTTCTATCCATTTCAGTATACTGTTTAAAACTCAATGAATTGAAATATTGAGCTATTACATTTTTTGAAGTGCAAAAGTTGAAAGGTAGCTCTTTAAATACCTCTTCTTCCACAATAACCGAACAGTTTATCTACATCATAATTTGGAGTAAGAGCACACCAAGGTCGTCTGGACTTAATTCTTGTACAGCGGTTGTATCGTCTACCGCGATAAATGAATGGGAAAACACAGCAAAAGTTTTGAGTGGTACGTTTGCGGCAGGAACCTGGAGAGTAAAAATAGACTTGATTAAAATTACACAATACTGAAGACACTTTTTAAGATCAAATTGTGAAGGTCCCGCCCTGAGATAGAAAGTTTCATTTCGATATGTAACATTGTTCCAAAATAGCATTTTCCTGAACGCTTATTAGGTTGATCCCAAAGGAAAGCTTATGTACTGAAGACTTGGGCCGAAAACCTTGCGAAAAACTAAAACCACGTGGTCATTGAAGAATTGACAAAAGTAACTCGTGTCGCCCGCGACGTTACCCGCCATTCTAGAAAATAAGATGCATCTTTCACAAGGCTTGCAGGTACATGTTCTAGTTCCAGTCTTTATGAGCAGGCTATCGCTAGATAGTTAACCTATAGGGCCATAGTCACACTCAAAGGGTATTGAGAAGGGAAAAAAACTGGGCATCCAAATTAACGTATTTTACTGATTATTTTTAGAGGGGATTTGTTCTGTTTATTTCATATTTACGGCCGGTTCAGTGCACTGTATCTCTTTACTTCTCAACTACCCCTCACCCCTTCTCTCCCTCTGCTCACACCTATTAGTGGTACCAGAGGCCACTGGCCCTCTTTTAGCTCATTAACTCCCACTCTCCTAACTCAATAACGTTATTGGCCCAAACTAACCTCTTAGAACGTAAACATCATTAGCCCACGGTCCTCCTTTTCCATTCCTACATCTGTTGGATTTCCCGTATTTTCTATATGTTCGAAAAGCATATTTGGTTGATGCACACCATCCCCCATGTTGTATGGCAAAAGTGCTAAAGCCTCGTTTCTTTGCAGCCAGAGCGCATTTCTGTATAGCGTACCGTCTTCTGCGGTAACTTCCTCGCAGAAGGCGACTTCCGCGGCCTTCGAGCGGAGCGATGGCTCGTCGACCTGTATCCCTGTAGCAGCCCCTGCTTCTTGCTGTAATAGAAATACTTTGTGTAAGTGCGCCTGTGTAGTGAAGCGAGCGTCATAAATGCCTTGGCCGCGCGTAATGTAAAAGATAGTTTGTAACAATTAAGGTAACAATTTTTTCGTATTTTAGGATTTAGTGTTTAAAATTATCTTAAGCTCACGATCATCAATTCAGCGAAGAAAAAAACCTGCATTTAAAGATGGTGTAATGACAAAAATTGTCCCGATGTTGAGAATAACAACTGTTTTGATAAGCCGTTAAAGAATACTGTAGTTAAAGGAGCTCGGTCACGGTATTCTGCGTTAATTTGGCCACGAACAAAAGTACGTTTAAGTTGAAGAAAACCTGGAAATAATAGTTTACTAAGATAGAAAAACACCAAAGAGACAATAATAAACCATAAAGAAACAAGGATGGCCAAGGATGGAGAAGATTAAAACGGATTACAAACGACGAACTTGGAAAATTTAGGTTATTCAACACAAGCAAACAATGACGAAGCGCCTTTAATAGATTCACTTTTTCGCAAGTTAGAGCGCTTTCAAGAAAGTGTTTATTTTTGAACCAGCAGAAGAGCTATTAGATTATTTTGCTGTGCCCTTCGAACTAAGAGAGTAAACGATATCGTAAAAGTAATGCAAAATCTAGTCCCTAGCGTCGTCCGTAGGAAGAACGAGAAGCATTTGCAAAATCCTGGAAACGAAAGTATTTGGCGTCTTGTGATTTCAAGCGTTAAGGTACATGTGACGTCAAACGTAATGCAGGTTGTTATATCAAAGCTCTCAATTATTGACAAAATTGCGTCAGATGTACACATTTGCCCTCACCTATTACATTAGCAGTGATCCTTATTGTTCGTCCTGGAAGATAAACAGCGAAAGAAATTCAATGACACCAGTACATACGAGAAACATAAATTAATAAATTGAGACTCAGGAGGGTAATAAAGACACTACAAGAAAACATTCATCTTAGCCAATAATGGATTTGTTTGCAAACAGCGTTCTTGCTCTAACAACAAAGGTGAAATATGAGATCATTTTTTGCCACAAATGTAGCCCGCTGTGGACTGCTGACAATCAGTGAAGGATCTTCCAGAGAGTAGGGCTTAGGATGAAAGAACAGAAGACACAAGAAAAAACCCACCCACCTCACCCCCAATTCCGTCCCGCTTTTTGAGAAAGAAAATGTAAATATTATTTTGTTTGGAGAGCCTTAGCTTTCTTTGAAATGAATTTAAACGTTCTGCCAGACATTACCTCTTCTAGGCGGTAAACGAGGCCTCACTGGTCGAACAGGGCGGACGCCTGAAAACGATATACTCAGTATTAATTATCATCAATTATTAAAATTACCTTTTTTGGTGCAGTTTCTTTTTCGTGCCAGAATAAGAGGACGAACAGCAGAGACAGACAGATAGACTGGCAGATAGACAGACACACAGACAGACAGACAGACAGACAAGGACACGGACAGATACATAGACAGACAGACAGACAGACACGTTTATTTCAACATGGAATTTCTCCGATTGCAGAGATTTGATCTTCGAGAAAGACGGAAAGATACAAAGACAAACAGAAAGACAGACAGACGGACAGACAGACGGAGAGTCAGAGAGACAAGGAGACAGACACATAAAAACATAGACAAAATGTCAGACAGACGGACAAAACAGGAGAAGGCAGACAGACACACGGATGAATAGGCGGGCAAAGAAACGAATGGACAGACAAACAAAATATAGCAAATTCCAGTGAGTTTCTTCATCTCTTTATACTTAACAAAACAACAACAAAAATATATTACCCTATATCATCTGCGCATGTTACTAACAACCAGGTAATGAATTAAGACTATTAGTGCCCAAATTGTCGCGATCGGGCTACAATAAATTACGATAAAATTTACTGCGATGATCATTCTTCACTTTCATCTACAACCGCAGTTCACATATGAATTATTTCATATATACTTCACATCATTTCACTCCTCACGGG